GTTAGCTCAGCGGGCCAAATTTAACTAAATTCAGCCAATCAGATTATTCCTTTGCTTGTCCAAGATTCTCAAAGTACTGGACCAGGCACTGTCCAAAATGATCCTGCATGATTACTCTTGAAGATTTCCTGGTATATTTATGGCTTATGTTTCTGAAAGAACTTGTTTTCACATAAACGATTCCTTTTCTTTTCTTCCAACTCTGTTTTGCTTAACATCAGACATGAGTATGCGCCTAATTGGCGCCCAATCAAAATTGCACCCTTGAAGTTTGCAATGTTTCAGTTTCAGTTGTGTAATAACTCTCTCATTAACCACGCTTGTTTGGGGTTACATTGGTGATGTTCAAAAACAGTGATGCAAAATAAATAAATAAATAAATAAATAAATAAATAAATAAATAAATGAAAAGTAATGTAAGGCTCGACTCACAATTTAGAGAAATTAAAAAACAAGAAGATACTCGACTTACAGTTTTGCCATAGCTGTACATGTACAACCCCAATGAAAGATAACAAAAGTTACAGATGTATGAAAGACAAAAAAGTACAACAACTAAGAAATAGAAAACATGTACAGTGTTTCTATTGAGTTATAGAAACACGAGTGTAAGTTTGGGAGAATGAGAAATGCTGTGGGAACACGAGCCAACAGGCAAGTGTTTCCACACCTTTTTCGAGTTCTCCCAAACTTTCACAAGTGTTTCTATAACTCAACAGAAACGCAGAGAACATAACTATGTTTCCTATTTCTTTTAGAAAAATTCCATGACCAAAAGAAAGAAAACAACTTGCTTACTTTGATCATCAAAGTGTAAATTCTCTTTGCTCGTGCCATAGTTATGTCAACAGCTCGTGCTAGTTCTGTGTTTCTATCGCGTTTTAGTATAAATCTACTAGCGTTCTATCACGAATGCCAAACTCTGATTGGCTACGCTACTCGCTAGCTATTCTGTGATAGATAATGAGTAGCGTAGCAGTGTGCAGTTATTAACAAAATGAAGGCCGCTTCTTGGCGTTTTCGAAGAATCTGTGAAGAGGATTCAGATTAAGTTTTGAATGACTAGTAGATTTATACTAAAACAATTAGATTATGCGCTCTCGATTTCTATCGCACGATAGAAATCTCGAGCTCATAATCTAATTGTTTAATATATGGAAACACGATTTTAAACCAATCAGCTAAACTCAGGTGTAATATATGCCAGACCTGAGATGTGTTTAGAATTCTTATTATTAAAAATGCTATACTGGACTTAGGTGTGACTCAAAGCAGTCCAGTTAAAAACAACTATCATCTGGCCAAAGACATGCTCTAAAATCTGGCATTCAATTGTTGCTGATAGTAGCTAGAGATTAGCTGGTAATAGTTTTCTCCTTGGGCTAAGCAGCCAACCAAAGTGTTTTACATGACACTGAGACTGAATTTCTCTTGAATCTGCGACTCAATGGTAGAAGAGAGAGCCAAATTAAGTGGATCGTTTCTTCTTTAAAACAAAACCTGATTAGGAAGACAAAAGACTACGATAAAACACTGTCTTTCAGTTATTATTTTTACCTGCCCTTCGACGTTTGCAGATGTACCAGCCAACAGCAAATATGACAGTGCAACCAAGCACGGGTCCCGCAATATAATACCACTCCAGAGCCAGCCTGGTGACAGAACCTGAGTAGCGA